GGGGATTAATAAAGTATCTATCTATCTATCTATCTATCTATCTATCTATCTATCTATCTATCTATCGATCGATCGATCGATCGATCTATCTATCTGCATGTTTTGGTACTTATTTATGTATTTAATTTTATTTATTTATTTATTTTTGGACGAGTCGAGACTGTTTTTCCTCATCCGGAGCATTTGATTGCATTGTTGACCTTGTGTTGACCTGCATATGACAAATACACAATAAACTTGTGTGCTGGAATTTGCATAACAGCATGTAAACATCCATCCACCCATTATCTTTTACCCGCTTCTTCCATTTTGGGTCACGGGGGTCGCCGGTGCCCATGTCCAGCAATCACTGTGCGAGGGGCTGGGGTACACCCTGGACATGTCGCAAGTCCAGCATGTAAACATTTATTTATTTGTTCATTGAGACAATGGGACAAACATGCACAGTATTGTGCATGTTAAAGCTTCAGGAGGTGTGTTTTTCTGCAGTAAAGGGAAGTTGTGTACAGGCTGCAGATACGCGAGCTGTCCGGTAGAGGCGCTCTTCAGTCGATTCTCTAACTATCGCGAGATTTTCAACGAGACTTGGAGATATTAGCATCACGGAGGAAGAAGAGCACGCATTTTAAGCAATATTATTTACTTTTCGAGGAGATTTTGAGCTAAAATCTAATATATTGTACTTGTAATAATCGGGGAAAACTATCAAAACTAAGGTAAAATTACACGCTAACTCATTTTTTTGTTATTTCCACTCTAGGGCTTTTGAAGCCTTCTGTCGACATTTAGGCCCTGGGATCCTGCTAACACTGCTAGCGCAATGCTAACTTGAGTGTTGTGGTTTTAATCTTTTTAATTAAAAGCATGCTTATATATAACCTCAGTATTTTCGTTTAGTACATTTTTAGGTTCAGTTATCAAATGTATGCCTTCAGTTCTCAGCTTGAGTTAGGATAATACTGTACTCTGTGTTTTAACAGATGTCGGAGGATCTGGTGAAACAATTGAGCAGCTACAAAGCTCAACTGCAGCAAGTGGAAGTGGCATTATCTACTGATCCAGACAATGAAGACCTCCGCAAACTCCAGAAAGACTTGCAGGTTTGTATGTCCATGTTAGATGGATAAACCATCAAACTGTATGTGAGTTTTAAAAAAGGTTTTCACTGAATACACACAACATCATGTAAAAAAAATAAAAAATTGGTGAAGCCGGTTTTCACATGTGGATACTTTTTAAATTGATTATGTAACCACAAGAAATCCTCTTAAGCGCAAAGATTTTCTGGTAACTCTTAAAAAGGGTGTTTTTATTAATATTTTAAGTGACAACTTTATATTTGTTTTATTTTGATAACGTTCAAGTATCTTTATCGTCATTCGCATCACATGTGGTACATGAGGTGGAATGAAATGATGTACTCAGGGTCCCAGGTACACCCAAAAATAGCCAAAAAAGTATAAAAAGAAACAGTATATAAGAATCTAATGTATACTCTAAGATATACGCTGAACAAACGCCAAACGGTATGCTGAAAGATCTAAGATATACGCTAAACACTAATAAAGTAAATATGATGTATTAAGCAGCAGACTGAACATGTTTGTTTTATTTTGATAACATTTAGGGGTATTCCTAGAGCACTACTGATCTGAAAGGTCTCAGCATGAGTAATTGGGCAGAAAGGTTAAGGATTATCCTGTTATTAACAAAAGATAATGGTTGTCCCAAGTCCAAAATTTTGAGAATATATCTACACAGCTATATATACATATCCTATTTAAACTTGCAGATAAGGAAAAAATTGCCTGAGCTTACTATGTTACTAACTTTTATTATCTTCTTTGTGCAGGAAGTCATCGACCTGACAAAAGATCTCCTGACTTCACAGCCCATCGATGGGGCTTCCACTGCCAGTAGTTCAAACACAGTGCCCGTGAAGCACCACTGGAAACCTGGGCACAAGTGTTTGGCAATGTGGAGTCAGGATGGACAGTGAGTGTCCTCTTAAAATCTGGTTTACAGGAATTTTCCTGTGCTGGTATAATTGTTATTGACAAAATACATACTAATACAAACAAAACATTTATTTTGTGTTTTAAGTTGGAGGAAATATGCTTTTTTTTTTAAACAGCATGTCTGTTGAGTTTAAATTTAATGGAACATATTGTCAGCCTCTACCATTACTGGAAACAGTTTTTGAGTGATTAGCAGTGACACTTTAGATATTCAATATTTATAAATTGAAGCATGAACTAGCTTTGCTAGTTAAGTAGAACCTGAGTATTTGGCTCATACTCACCTGCTTACAGACGTGATTTTTTGACAGGGTGTATGAGGCCGAGATTGAGGAGATAGACCGAGAGAATGGCACCGCAGCCGTCACCTTCACTGAATATGGGAATGCTGAAGTGATTCCTCTGCAGAACCTCAAAGTAGTAGAGGAAGGGAAACGTTCTGAAGATGATGGCGGCATGAAGCCAAAATCAAGGTATGAACAAACATTCAATATCAAAATGTCATAAATGTTTCTATAATTCTTGATTTATTGAAATCTAATGCACTGTTCATGTTTGATTTAGCTTGTGGTGGTACTGGGGGCTGTAAATTACTAAACAAAGTGAAATCCCACTATCAACTATGTTTATAGTGACCAGACCAGATGATACTAAATTGAGAATACCCATGTAGTGTGACTTTTTTTATAAACACGTTTTATTTATGTGTAGAAATTAGGGGTGTAACGGTACGCTAAAATCACATTTCAGTTCAGTTTCAAGGAGGGCTCGGTTCGGTGCATTTTCAGTACCAAAATAAAGGCCAAAATAAAGACTTACAAAATGTTTATTTTGAAAATATGCCAAGTAAACAATACGTTTGTATAAAATAAATAAAATCAACCCATTTGGATGATATTTTAAATAAAAGGCACTCTTTACAATAAATAAACTATACTAACAATAATAAAAATCTTAATTAATACAATAACAGTCAGAACCAGAACAATAAGCAGCAACAGACTGTTTACAATCTAACCAGTCAAGTTTTAAGTTTTTGGCCAAAAAGACCAACTTGTCCACATTTTCTGCCAAAATCATAGATCTAGTTGCAGTGACATCATCTCCAGCGGTGGAAAAAACAGCTCACTAACAACAGTAGCAGGAATAAAGAGGTAGAGCTTTGATAATTTTGCAGTGTGGCTGTATTTGGCCTCATTACTCAGAACCTCTTGGACCTGCTCCCACAGGTGGGACAGGTCCCTAGAAAAGTTCAGAGTTCACTCATCACAGACTTTTTAGCTGGAGGTGATTTCTGATTTCCCTGAAGAGGAAGACGACTCGCAGCTGTTATCTGTGTCCCAGACTGGAAATAAAACACAAAGAGGTAAAAAAAAAAAAAAAAAGAGTTAATAAGATTATAATTTTAAATAATAAAAAGTTAATTAGATAATAACAACAAAGTCCATGCTCAATAATCCAGGTATACAATCCAACATTTTTCAGTCGGGTCATCTGGACAGTTTCTTTTTTTTGTGCTGAAACGTTTCACCTTTGATCCGGAAGGCTTCATCAAGGGGTTAATTAGATAATAATAATAAAAGAACAATACCTCTTCTTGAACAGTTGTTATGAGGTGGTTGAATCTCTCGGTCATCATCATCATTAGGACAGAGCTTTAATCTGGTCCAGGGCTTGTTGACGATCAGTTTTAGCTTTTTCATAAAGTGCTGCGCTACAACGTTTTGGCTGAAGTGTTGACGTGATGGATGTTGTAGCGGGGCTCAATAACTTTAAAGCCGGCGCATCAACAACATTCGGACGTAGATCCAGAGTTTTAAAAACTCCTACAGCTTGTGTTATTGCTCTGGACCGATCTGATTTACCTGATAAATGTTGTTTACATGCTGCTGTTATCGGTCTTTGCACCAACCAAGCTTCTATAAGAGACGTTCACGTTCGGATAATGTTGTTTCAAGTGCGTTAACAAGTTAGACGTGTTGCTGTTGCAGATTCAATCTCCGTGAAACAACATCGACACACAGCTTTGGATTTGTTCACTTGTCTTTTAACAAAAAAGCCATAATGTTCCCAAACAGGAGACCGCAACAAGATGCTAGGCTGTTAATTCTGCACGTGCTGCAAGATAACAGCGCCGTGCTGAAACACGCTTAGGAACTTTAGTTCCGCGGCGCATAATCTCTCGTTAATAAAATGTAATTAATTTAAAAATAACCGAAACGATATGCACGTGGACCGAACTGAACATACCCTACCAAAACGGTTTGGTACACCCACGCGTACCGTTACACCCCTAGTAGAAATGTCTAAATGAAAAGGGTACGTTTAACGCTTTTCACATTGCAATCTAGTTGCGTTGGAACAAAAAATAAACTTATAATGCAGCTGTTTATGTTTGCTTGTTAAAATGACATATTTAGAGATGTTGGTATGTTGTAAAAGTTATAATTAGGATGCAGCAGAATTTGACCTTTGTTCTACTGTGCCCTCAGTCTTTTATAAGAGCATGAACACACACTTGTTTGTTTAGCTTTGTGACTTTATCCAATGCCATCTCAGAGGTGAATCAATCTAAACCCCCTATAGTATCCCCGTACATGGAGTGTAAAAAACAAACACAACACATAGTCGGTCCTCAACTGGAAAAGGGTGGACTTCCCTCTCAGGGTTGGGAGTGAAGTGCTGCCTCGGGTGGAGGAGTTCAAGTATCTTGGGGTATTTCGGCATAAGTGAGGAAAGAATGAAGTGGGAGATAAACAGGTCAGTGCTGCTTTGCAGTGTTGCACACTCTGTTGGTCCCCTGTGAAGAATAGGGATGTGAGCTGCAAGACGAAGCTCTTTGTTTACCATTAGGTCTATGTTCCTTTCTTCTTCAATGGTCACAAATTCTGGATAGGGACAAAAAGAAAGATTTCAGATTAAAGTAGTTGAAATTAGTTTTCTCTGCAGGGTAGCTGGACTCTTAAGCTATGTTTACATGGACATAAGTAATCAGATTAAATGGCCATTCAGAATAAAAACGCGTCATGTAAACGCACCATTCGGATTAGTTTTTATTTATTCAGCTTGATCCGAAAAAATTTTTCTGGGGTTGCGCTGCTCGGGGTGGCTGCATGTTGGAGTAGCTCTGTAACAGTCTTTTTTTTTGTTTTCTTTTTTCATTTACCCTTTATTTATACATGTAGTCTCAATGAGCCACGAGAATTCATTTTCAAGAGAGACCTGTTTAAGGAGCAGATGGGGGGTTAAGGGCCTTGCTCATGGGCCCGGAGTGGGGCGAATGAGGGTGGGGGCAAGTATGGTTGCTTCACCTACCCCACCCACATTTTTTTGATGTTGTCAGTACCGGGGTGTGAACCTGCGATCTTCCGATCACAGGCCCACCTCTCTAACCTCTGCGCCACGTTGCTTTTGAGAACTTTGATTCCTCTTTTTTCTGGATGTGAATCACTTTTTTCGGATAATTATTTCCTCTGGTATCAGCTGCTGTGCAGCTGGAAGGATTATTACTGAAACCTTTTCACTTTTGGACATTTGTTATGATGCGTAACCATGGCAACAAGGTGTTTTTTTTTTTTAACAACCAGGAGCAGCTGATTAACATCTTTACAGCTCAAAAAGCTCAACTACAGCCCCAAATCCCAAATAAGTTGAAAAGGAGGCACCATGGATGAATTCCCGTCAACCTGACAGTTGTGCTCGAGTACCTGACCACCAAAATCCTGGAGCTGGGAAACTTGGCTCGTGACAACGGGAGGACTGGGATCATCCACTAGCACCTTCAGCTGACTGTCTGTGGTGACGAGGAGCTCGATAGAATGCTGGGAGGAGTGACCATCGCTCAGGGAGGAATTCTACCCAAAATTCAGGCAGTCCTGCTGCCCAGGAGGACCGAGAGGCCCACCGGATCTGACATCAAGCTGGATCCAGGTGTACAGATCAGTATCTGTGGCCAGATTTTTTGGATTTGCTGCAGGAGATCCTTCCTGCCCACAGCTATCAGCATCTAACAACTCTTGAACGAAACCAGGGCGATGAGCTACGACAACACTTAATTTCCCTTTGGGATTAATCAAATATTTTTGAATTGAATTGAATTTGTAATAAGAATGAGACGGGTGGTTCATGCCGGTTCATAATCCGAAAGGTGTGCATGTAAACACTTAATTTGATCATCTAATTCTGATGGTGGAAAACTGACCTGACTGCGCAAGTGTGACCTATGTCATTTCCGCCTGGCTAATGCTAATAATATTAGCACGTTGGGGAAGCAAAACTGGTCGGTGAGCGACACAACATTTCTATTACAAACTTTGAAAGAGCTCAAAATGATCTGTATTACCTGCAGCTCGGTGAGGGAGTGCAGTAACGTCTCCACCGTCATTAAAACCTGTTGCGGGTCCATTTTCGGCACCAGGTTTGTTTACGTTCATCCCGGAAGTAAACCAGAAGTAGAACAACTTCTTCTGTATTTTTAAGGAGAGTTTACCACTCTGCACATTTCAGTACTTGTATTCAAACTAAAAGTCCGGTGCATGTAAACGCTGGTCGTGAATGGACTGTGCCCATGTAGACGATACATTTGAATTATTTAATCTGAAAACATTTCAATCCGGTCAAAGAATTCTGCGCATGTAAACACAGCTTTAGAAAGAGAGTGAGAAGTTCAGTTATTCGTGAGAGACGCGGAGTAGAGCCGTTACTCCTCCACATCAAGATGAATCAGTTGAGGTGATTTGGGCATCTGGTAAGGATGTTTCTGGGTACGTCCAACTGGGAGGAGACCCTGTGGAAAATCCAAGACATACTGGAGATACAAGTGGTGTTTTGCCACTCTCAACACTCATCGGTTCCACACCAGTAAAGGGCCTACCCACTGCTTATACACACTCCCCCAGCCCGGTTTATGGGACCATCTTGTTCATGGTTCCAAGCGAACTGTTCACAGGTGACAGTTTTGACATAAGCAGACAGCAGCCGTTGATTGGCCAGCAGAGATAAATCACTACTTTTAACTACAAACTACAGCGGAACCGCCATTTCTTCTCTGAATGTTATAGTGTGTGAGTTAGTCTGTTTTTTCTAGTTTCTAGTTGGATATGGAAGCACCAAAAGTAGTGTCATGGACCAATGGTCTAGATCTTTCTGTCTTTATTGGCGGGTCTGAGGATTTAGCATGAGCTGGACGGCACAGTAAGAACCCGCCCACTTTGCATTGACGATCCCGCCCACAGAGCAAGGGGAAACAAGTCACAGTGACAGTTCACCTACACTTGAAAAGAACCGAAAAGACGCGATCCAACTCGAGTCACCCTCATCAGTGGCAAAGCAGCTAATGTGTCTCAGCTGGTCTGGTATCGCCCCTGAGTCCTCCAGGAAGAACTGGAAGAGGCTGCTATGGAAAAAGATGTCTGGGCCTTACAGCTCAAGCTGCTGCCCCCATGCCCCAACTCCAGAACAAGCAGGCAACAAAAACAGTCTCTAAGAGCAAAACAGCTTGAAGAGCTAATTATTATGTCTGACGTGAATCTTTTTATGCACTGCAGATTAAAAAAACATTTTAAGGTTACTGTTTGAATGCAAAGCCAAACACTCTCAAGTGATTTACCCAGGTAGTTTCTTGAAAACACTTTGAGGAAAACATTTTGTCAGTCAAAACTTTTTTTCCCTTAAACTGTCAATCTGTTGTTTAAAAGCGAGTTTAATAATTAATGTTTTAAAAAGTGCTTCAGCATGTTTTTGTTGAAAAATTATACTTTAGCTGCTGATGCCTTATCTAGTTTATTTCAGTTTTTACAATTTCTGGTTTGAAATGGATACTTTCCTTTTGTGTGACTTTCCAGGAAGGAGCAGATAGCAGAGCAGCGAGAATACAAGAAGAAGAAAGCTCAGAAAAAAGTGCAGAGGATTAAGGAGTTGGAGCAGGAGAGGGAAGAGCAAAAGTCAAAGTGGCAACAGTTCAACAACAAAGCATACTCAAAGAACAAGAAAGGACAGGTAATTTGCCTTTTTCTAGGATTTAAGATTGTACATCATTCTTTTTACTTCTGTGCACTTACAAAAGTTGTTTGTTTTATGCAGGTAAAGAGGAGCATATTTGCATCCCCTGAAAGTGTAAATGGGAAGGTGGGAGTTGGAACTTGTGGGATTGCAGACAAACCTATGACCCAGTACAACGACACGTCCAAATACAACGTCAGACATCTAATGCCACAATGACCTGATATACTTTGTACATAGTAATCCATTGTATACTAGATGTGTCAGTGCTTTCCACGGTGTTTATACACAATCTAAGTTACTCAAGTAAAGGAAACTTGAAAAGGATTTGTTCTACACCAGTGTTTTAAAACATTGTAATTTTTTTGTATATTATGCGATTAGAACAAAAAAATCCATGAGGAAGTTTTCCACCTTTGAAACAAAAAGCATCTTATATAAGAACCCAGGATGGTGGTGTAGAAAAGTGTTTTGTTTCCATTATTGCGAGGCGAAATGCCTACAAAGATGTGTGTAAATAAAACACATTCGAGGCTGGATTTTTCTCTCACCACTCCGAATATTATAATGTTGTGAATTTAAAATGGCTTAATTTACTTCTGAATTTCTGTATATTTTAAAATGAGTGAAATAAACATTTTGTGTTTACTGTTTAAAAAGGTTTTTTTTGTATTTTAATTTAAGATCCTGTAGATGAATAAGCCTATTCTCTTGTTCAGTTTATGACGAGGCAAAATTTGTACAGATGTCCAGTTCAAGCCACCGTGACAGAAAACATCTGCATTATGCACGCTTAACAAAAAAAAACAAGTTTGTGTTAAGAGGTTTATTGAGATTTCAGGAATGGTTAACGGGTTGTAACAAAGTTAGCAGGGGACTAGCAGCACATTTTGCACAAGTCATCTTGTATGGCTGATTAAAAAAAAAAACACACACATAAACAAAAAACATTCTGGGTTGTGCCTTAACATTTTTGAATAGTGCTTTTTTTATTCAAATGCAGTGGCAGACGTGATCTCAAATAATGGACTTTGTGCAAGAGTCAATCCCCATGTTAAGACAATTTGGTGGTTTCACCTAGGACGACTTATGGAAGAATGCAGATAAATGGTATTGAAATGTCTTATTTGGTTTCATTTATTCAAACAGGTCAGCAGTGCAGCTTAGTTTCAAATAAGATGAATTATTCGAAGTTTCCAATTGTCAATTTAGGCTTTGACTTTTTCCTGTTACAGTACAAAAAGAATACTGAAGTATAAATCAAAACCAGTTTTTTGTAGAATACACTATTCATGCTACAAACATCATTATGGACTCATCAATCCAAAGCACAATACAATTCAAAAGGCTACATTCAAGACACATGCACCATAGTGTTTTAAACCGATTACAATCACTGCTGATTATTGGTAGCCAATACTACTACTGAAGCAAGAATAAATCATTTTATTTGGAGCAGGATGGACAGACACGTACTAAATCCAGTCAACATCACATGATTAAACTAGACATTATTGCTTGAGCTTTGTGCTTGGACAAGTGCTAAATAGCTTATTACCGACTAAACTCATTGACTGCACAGTGTGAAAGCATCCAACCAAACAATGAGTACTATTAAACTCATAGCACAACATATGCTTTAGTGGAGATTTTATATCAAGTAAGTTTGGTAAACATTTAAACACAAGGGAAAAAAAGTTTTTTTATTCAAGCATGACCAAGATGCAAACCATTAAATATATAAAAAAATAAATAAAATAATGCAAAATATATTCGTTTCATAAAGGTGGACTACATACCACCTGTTCTGGTTATTAAACTTTTTCAGTGAAGAACTGGGACGCCACACAAATCAGTGATGGTTGCGGGTCCTAAAGCAGAAGTTAAAGAAAAGTAGCGTATTTTGGAATGCAGATATTCTAGCCCTTGCTGGCTTGTACTTTGACAAGAAGTGCTTTCTGGATACATTTTCCAGTAAAAAAATGGGCTTTTTCTTCTTCTTTACAAGGCATATGGCGCTAATGTTCCCAATGGTGAGCTTTTAGCTGGTGTCGTGTGTGTGTGTGTGTGTATGTATTTTTGCTGGTTTCTGAGGATCAACTTGATTAATATAGAGGGTCCTCCTTTAGTGTTTAACACTGGTGCAATAATGGGTCCTCTATAGGATCAAACATGGTTGTTTTGAGTCGATAACTGATAAAGGGACGGTTGAGCCAACCTTGTAAATGCAAAAGAAAAGCCTGTAGTCATAAAAGTAGTGAAAATGGGTTTTGGCAAGAGACCAGTTTTACTTGGACTGAACTGAACGTACGACTGGGTCTTGGACGGAGATGTTTCGTGAAGGAGGCTGGTTCTTTTGGACGACTATACCGTTTGGGAGAAAGAAGCTGGTACTTTTAAAAGGTGAAAGCCTTAAACGATTGCAGCTTAAGTGGAAATGTTGGCTGGTGCTTCAAGCAGAAAAGGCCAGTTTTAGACTGCAAGTGGAGTAGCCCTCGTCGCTGGCCGAGCTCTGCCGGCTGCTCTGGTCGTCCAGGTCGCTGGCACCACTGGTGCTGACACTGTCCATTTCTCCATGGGAGAACTCGGTGCTTTCCACATCGACTTCGATGTCCTCTGCTCCAACACAAAAACACCAATGAATACAGACCTAACTTTTGAAAGAATGTACCCCACTGAAAAGAAACGGGGACTCTGACCTCTGTCAGACTCTGATCGATCAGAATCCATGCGGGAGCCCATGCTGTCTGTGCGGACCCTCTCCCACTCTCCATGAGTCTGCAGCAGAGCTAGCTGCCTCTGTAGGTGCCTCTGCTCCCTCTCTAGAGTCTCCAGTGCGTGCTGGCTCCTTCGGTCCGTCTCTTCAAGTTTCTACAAAATAAAAGCATGCATTTCGATGAAACCTCACAAATTAATCCATAAGGGGGAAAAAAAAAGCACAACTGTGTGCAAATTTGATTTGTTGCCATGGCTTGTTCACATCGTTCTGCAGATCATTCTGAGGCATTTAGGTGCATGAGAGGACGGTGAACTTCTCACATATGCACGGATGCTTGCATAGAGAGACACATCCCACCAAGAGAGACAGCATCACCACAACCCAATAAATTATTGAACAAGGTGCTGGTTGGGATGTACAGAAATAGCTGGTGCCTAAGTGGGATGGTACATGCAAAATATGACTAAAAGTAAAGCAAACCTGGAGGTGGTCTTATCTTGCTGTTAATGATAGAAATATCCTGTGGAAACCCTGACAGGCCAATCATGTTCTGATGTATCAGACTTTATATCTAATCTGATACAATCAACTATTACATCATTGCAAAAATAGCTGTTTTGGTTAAACCTTGTAAAAGACACTAAGTGCAACCTTATTGCAATATTGTGAGACGTCATGCTCGGAGAATGTGTCGACGATGACTCTCCGCTACTGCCACACCAAAATAGCTCACTATTTGTAAAACTGACTGTGTTAGAGCTATTTTTTCTGTTGGCTAACGTCAATTAGTTGTGGAATCCATCTTGAAGGGGGTTGACTGTAAATGTTAAAGAGTTGTAGACATCCGTTCAATGAATACTTTGTGAGAGCTTCAGTAAAGTGGTTCATGGGATGTTTTGATAAGAGACAGAATCATGAACCCACACACGTGGACAAAAACTGAGATGCACAATATTAGATTTTTGGCCGATATCCGATATGCTAATATATTGAAACTTATTTGGTCGATACCAATAACGCTCTACTGGCTCCCGGTTAAATCACGCATCGTCTTCAAAATTCTTCTTCTCACTTTTAAAGCTATCCACAACCTTTCCCCTCCGTACCTATCTGACCTCCTACACATCTCCATCCCCTCTCGCTCTCTCAGATCCTCCTCTTCACTACACCTCCATGTACCCTCTGCCCGCCTCTCCACCATGGGGAGCAGGGCCTTCACCTGCTCTGCTCCTCATCTCTGGAACTCTCTACCCCCTGACTTACGAAATACCACCTCTATTTCTCTATTCAAGACTGCTCTGAAAACACATCTCTTTAGACTCGCTTATCCTTAACTTTGCTGTATGTATTTTATATTCTGTATGTATTTTATATTCTGTATGTATTTTATATTCTTTATGTATTTTATATTCTTTATGTAATTTATTCCTGTTGATCTTTGTTCTTACTGTAAAGTGTCCTTGGGTGTCATGAAAGGCGCTTTTTAAATAAAATGATTATTATTATTATTATTATTATTATTTATAAGTCACAGGACATGCAAATTATGAAACAACAAAACAAAACAAACAAAAAAAAATGTGACTTCCATCCATCCATCATCTTCCGCTTGTTCCAAAGTCGGGTCACGGTGGCAGCAGTTTGAGCAGGGAGGTCCATACATCTCTTTCCACAGCCACCTCTTCCAGCTCTTCTGGGAGGATTCCAAGGTGTTCCCAGGTCAACCGATAGGCATGGTCTCTCCAGCATGTCCTGCGTCTACCCCGGGGTCTCCTCCCAGTTGGACATGCCCGAAGCACCTCCCTAGGGAGGCGTATAGGGGGCATCCTTACCAGATGCTCGAACCACCTCAACTGGCTCCTCTCAATGTGGAGGAGCAGCGGCTCTACTCCGAGTCTCTCCCAGATAACCAAACTTCTCACCCTATCTCTAAGGGAGAGTCCAGCTACCCTGCGGAGGAAACTCATTTCAACCAACTGTACCCTCATTCTTTCGGTCACTACCCAGAGCTCGTGGCCATAGGTGAGGGTAGGAACGTAGACTGACAAACAGAGAGTTTTGCCTTACAGCTCAGCTCTCTCTTCACCACAACGGACCGGTACAGAGTCCACAATAATGTAGACGCTGCATCAATCCGTCTGTCAATCTCACGCTCCATTCTTCCTTCACTCGTTAACAAACCCCGAGATACTTGAGCTCCTCCACTTGAGGCAGAACCTCACCCTCGATCTGGAGAGAGCAATCCACACTTTTCCGGTTGAGGACCATGGCCTCAGATTTGGAGGTGCTGATTCTCATTCCAGCCGCTTCACACTCAACTGCGAACCGCTCCAGTGAGAGCTGAGGATCATGGCACGATGAAGCCAACAGGACCACGTCATCTGCAAAGAGCAGAGATGTGGTCCTGAGGTTACCGAACCAAAAACCCTCCCCCCATTGGCTGCACTGAGAAATTCTGTCCATAAAAGTTATGAAACCGCGACTTAAACAGCGAAAAATACAGTACTTGGATATTTCAGGTATATATGAGTAAGTTATTTTGATGGAATAGCCGATGTCCAATATTTAATTGGAACGCCAATATCGGCCGATACCATGCCGATATATCGTAAATCCCCAGACAAAAACATCGCCTTCATTTTTCTGCAGCGAGCAATATTTAAGACTAATTCCAAGTTGCACATGTGACATACATTTAGAAACGTTATGATGATTAAAGTTTTCCACCATGACAGAGGCTGTGTACTGGTTTAATTCAACTGAAGTCCCCTGACAAAACAATACAGTAAATATTTTATACAAGAAGAGGCATAATTATACGAATGGTAATACTGTGTATACAGCATTAAGTCCCAGCACAGTGGGTGTTAATGAATTCTCGAGGCTGAGACTGAACTAAATGCTGCAGTTTGTGAGTAATGTTCAGGGAGGCTTTTATGTAAATGGGGTCAAATAATTTTCTTTTAAAAGCTCCGAACATCGTTGGCACATTGCAAGCGAGAACAACTTTTATCGTTACATTTCACTAAACAAACAGGATGTTTTTCGTGTGTTTTGCCGTCTTCTTATTTTCTGAATCTATAGGCTTACAGCAGCTGCACCCTTGAACTGAGCAACCTCTGGTTCTAAAAATACAGCCGTGTTTCAAAGGCCAACTTTCTGGACTTCAAACACACAAGTCCAGAGTCGACAGCTGACATCAGGGATGCTTCACTTTTTCTGCCTCACAGTGATAAACTCCCACAGATTGTTGTCAGGATTGCTTTCATATCACAGCCCCCACAGCTCAGCTGCTACTACTGCTCCACTGTGTTTCCTGTAAAACGGTGATCTGACTTTAATTGCAGCTATCAGGGAGCCGGCGTGTTGAATATTGGATACTTTTGATCCGACAGACACCAAGACCAACAGTTTTTAGAATGAGGGTGGGTGTAAAGCCTGTAGGAACAGTGGTCAGTGTTAAAAACCCACAGCGTACAGTCAGGCAAACACTAACTGATGTGGAAACTCCTGCAGAGGGCAGCCTGCAGCAGCCCCAGGGAGACGGGTTGTGGAGGAAACGAAAACTGCAACAACGCATAAACCAAAATGTCCTGGACAGTAAGACCAAATTGCCTCCAGGAGAATTATTTTAGGGACTCTGGAGATGTCATCGTTTGTCACTGCGCACACTCTCTATGTCGTTAAACGACTGCTAATACAAAGCAACTAAAATGGAGTAGGTGCAGCAAGAGCTTTTTTTTTTTTTTTTTAAATGTTCAGCCGTTTCTCTATCAACAATTACTGGATCGGTGTACTGGCTACTGAGGCGATAACTATATATTCATTAGTTTTTATTGTAAAGTAATTGAACAGTTTCCAGGAATAAAAACAACAAAGTCCATGCTCAATAATCCAGGTATACATTCCAACATTTTTCAATCAGATCATCTGGACAGTTTCTTTTTTTTTTTTGTGTGTGTGCTGAAACGTTTCACCTTCGGTCCGGTATGAAGCCTTCCGGACCGAAGGTGAAACGTTTCAGCACAAAAAAAATAAATAAATAAACTGTCCAGATGACCTGATTGAAAAATGTTGGAGTTTCCAGGAATGTCCTTTGTTATCGCTCGCAGCCAAAGGCAAAGGCTGAGCGATGAAAGTTCATCGATGCCTGTGTCTGTGTGCTCGTTTGTACCATTAGTCATCATATCTCATGAATCCCCTCATGGATTTTAATACAATTTTCCAAAATTAATCACTGGGTTGACATCTAGAACACACCAACTTTTGGGAGTCAGTCTAATTCAAGATGGCCACCACAGCAAAGCCATCTTATCAAACACAAACATGTCTACTTCGTAGTTAATTTGACAGCTACTGAGCTAAAAATTGGCGTGGTAGTAACTGAGACTGATCCCCAACTTATGTTAAGAGCGCTAACTGATTGCATGAGATCTGTCTTTAAGTCTTTGTTAGAATCAACTCTGTCTTTTAGCAAAATATCTTATAAACCACAGACTGAAGTTGAATTAATTTTTCAGAATGGACATACAACCTTTGGATCCAACCCTATTCAAAATGGCCACCACAGCCAATTGGTCTTAACCCACATAAAAAATGGTAATAGCTCAGCAGATTTGGCAGATACTGAGCTAAAATCTGGAGTGGTAGATGCTCAGTCATTCAAAACACACTAGACGGCACAAGCTTCAGCAATATTGAGTAAGATTGTGCACAACGTTATTTTCAAAATGATCCGAATTAAAACTAGCTAACATGAAATGTGGCAGGTGATATGCATTCTTTCAAGGAATATTAAGTTCTGAAGTTGTTTTAAAGCTTTTATCTACAAGTACCTTCCCCAGGAACTACAGCTTCTTGGTACTTGACTCCCTTTGTTTTATTGTGAAGGAACTTGACGCTAACAGAAATTCTAGGAAACATTTTAATCCCAAATCATCCATGGAAGGTGGGCGACACTTTCAATACCACAAACTTTTTTTGATGTGACACTTGTGGCATCTATCTGTTATATCTGACATCCTGTACCAAACCTGTCATGGGTTAACGCCACTTGTAAGATTTGTTCGCTTCAATTTCCACTGCTGTTTGCAATAAATTACAGCAATAAAATGTTAATCTCTGATTGTTTCACAGCACTTTGCTTCACAAAAAGCAAATTAAAACTAGAGAAATAGCATTTCCTGTAAAAATGCAGCGTGAATGCTTTTTGCTGAAGAACTTGCTGAAAAACAGTTGAAATGGAAGAACAATCCTAAATTACCAGAAACAACATATATTTGCAAATGAGCACAACAATTAGAAAATTTGCTTAAAAAAGATGAAATCAGCAAAAATATCTAAAAAAAAAATAAAAAAAAAAAGGAGCTGAAAAGTAAAAAGGAGCTTAAAGTACCAGACGGAAGCAGAAAGAGCTAAAATATGCGAAGAAAATAAGAAAGTAGCTGGAAAAGCTAAAATTAGCATAAACAGCTAAATAGTAGCTGAAATAACTGAAACTAGCAGAAAGAAGCTGAAAGAAGCATAGCAAGCTGAAATTAGCATAAATTATTAATTATGTTAATGTCTGTTAACTAATAGTTAATTAGGCTGAAAGTAGCATAAAATACCACAAAAAAACTTGAATTTATCAGTAAACAACTGAAATTAGTAAAAAAAAATGCTAAAACTTAGTTGAAAAGGTAGAACAAGCTTAAATTAGTAGAAGAATGCAAAAAGAACACAACTTGCCCAGTTAGGCTGAAAGAAACAGAAAGGAGCACAAAGAAGTAGAAATTATCTGAAAAAAAAAAAAGAAATTTGCCAAAAACAGCTGAAAAGTAGCTAAAAATAATCAGGAAGAAGCTTAAATTACCAGAAGGAAGTGGAGAGAGCACATTTTTTACTGAATTAGGCTGAACACAGTTTAAATGAGTGCAAATAATTTGAAATTAGCTGAAAAAGCTAAAATTCACATAAAAATGGTTAAATAATAGCTGAAAAAGAAGACAAAGATGAAAAGGATTATTGAGCATGCATCAGGATAAAAGCTGAAACTTGCAGAAATAAGCTGAAAGGAGCATAACAAACTAAATATCCTGATGCATGCTCAATAATCCAGGTAGAAAAATAAAAAAAAGTTCAATCTGGTCCTCTGGACAAGCTGAAAGAAGCTGAACCAGAACAATATGTATTAGTAAAAGGTTGTAAACACATCTAAACATTTGAACAATGTAAAATGAGCTCAATTCATTTTCTAGGAGAAAAAAATGTCAGAAAAGGCTAAATATTTCAAAAAGCTAAAGTTGCACTAATACCAAAAGCCACAACACCTTTCTCTTGAATGAGCTGAACGTTTTGATATGATTTGATGAAATAGCACAAACATTGTGGAGTAAGAAAGATGCCGAAAAACGTACGGTAGAAAAAGATCTCAGTAGTGTGAATGCTTCATAAACATTCACGCACACACAAAAAAAACATCCACAACTTAAAGGAAATCAGTAATACAGTTGGTAAAACAACTAAAAGTGCACTTCCTGTTTTCACTATTTGTGTAGCTTCTCGGACAAACTCCTACACACAAAGGTGTCATTTGCCTAATCTGCCCTGCAGCTATAAACTCAGTGGAAGTGCAGGAAACACAAGTCCTGTGGTCAAAATGACTTTATACTGTTCGCTTATTTGGATCAAACTGTGCCAGCAGCTCTCTGGGGTTTATACAGAGGCTCCCTATAAAAAATGTATTATTATGGGCTGGTTGCATTTGCACTGTAGACAGAAACCTAAAGTGACAATCAGTTGGATGGTGGTAGACAAGAAAAAAAAAAGGTGTACTGAGCATGCAGTTTCCAACAATTACTGAACAGCTGCATCACAGATGGTTTCCCTCCTGCTGATAAAGTTCCTCCTCTGAAAGTATAGGAGTTAAAAAGGGCCTATAAAAGCTCTTTCTGCTGTGCAAAGGCAAAAATGAAAAGGAGCTGCATTTGTCATAAAAAATAAAATGAAGGTTCCAGCAAACCTAAACCATCTCGTCTTTTCCTGTAGGATTACAGACATGATTATTCTTTAGGGAGCCAATAGATTTATTTGTGAATATACCACAATAAGCAGACTTATTCACTTGTAATTTGTAAAACTAACAAATGTTTCATTCATTTAGATCAAGAGTGGGCAACATTTATTTCCAGAGGGCCAAATCAAGATAATGAGAGCAAACAAAGGGCTTCATAGTCGACTAAAAAGATGAGCCTTTTTTAACCCAAAGGTTTTTGATGCATTTGTCCAAGAAGCTTAATTTAGATTTCCTTGAACTTCGCTGATTCATCAACTTATTTAAAATCGTTTTATTTTCTATTAAGGATATTGTGGGCTGGATAGAGATTGTTCAGCGGCCACTTTTGGCCCTCGAGCCATATGTTGCCCACGTCTGATTTAAATGATGATTTTGGACTAAATGTAAGAAACTTGTTCATGTTTGTTTTTCCTACCACATCATCAAAATGTCTGACATTAAAATGTTATTCTACCATGATGGCTTTGCGTGTTACTGCAAGTTTTTCAATCTTATATTAACAGATCATTAGTTCATTGCTAGTCATGAGGAAGAAGGAGCACCCAGACTACAGCACCTTGATGTGTGCTTTGGCCTTGTTGAGCAGTCCTAGTGTGGTGTGCCGACTGCAGTTTGGTCCCAGAGGGATGAGTGACTTCAACCTCTCCAAACACAGGCGGAGATGTGCTCGCCTGCGGGAGGACACGTAGTCAAGATCATTTCTCTTCAGAGACAGAATAAAGCAAATACAGTACATTAAAAAACAAAAACAAGTTTAAAATAATTTTACAACCCCAGCAGTGAAAAAAGCTGGGATGTTCTGTAAAACGTAAATAAAAACAGATGATTTACAAATATCTTCAAACACATATTTTATTCATAGTGGAACATAGTAAAAAGTAGTCAATGTTTAAACCAAGAAATTGTACTTTTTTAAAGATAATTTTGAATTTAATGGTGGCAGCACATCTAAAAAAAAAAAAAAAAAAAAAATGGGACGGGGCCATTAAAAGGCTGTGACAAGAAACAGCTAGACTCAACAAGTCAGCAAGAGGAGTGGGGAAAAAAAAAACATTTTATAAAGGTTGAATCCCTTAGAAGTAAAGATTGGCAGAGGTTCACCAGTCTTCAAAAAACTGCATTAAGCATAGTGAAACAATTTCAAAATAATGTTCCTGAACTGAAATTTTAGAAGACTAAACATCCCATCATCAGGAACTGGAGACATTTTTGCGTGCAAAAGACAAGATTGAATGCTTGACATGTCTCTCAGTCTCTTGTGGCATCCTCAAATGCTGGTTAAAGCTCTATCATGCAAACAAGAAGCCATATTTGAACACCACGTAGCAATGCCACTGCTTTCTCTGGGCCAAAACGCATGTAACAGAGACAACGTGGAAAACTGTTCTGTGATCAGATGAATCAAAATTTGAAATTCTTTATGGAAACCCCGGATGCAGCATCCTCCATATTAAAAGAGGAGAGGGACCAGTCAGTCTGCTAGCAGCACACAGTTCAAAAACCTGCCTCCCTGATGGTATGGGGGTACATTACTGCCTCTGGCATGGGTAGCTTGCACATCTAGAAAGGCTCCATTAATACAAAAGAGTACAGGTTTTAAAAACAATCCATGTTTCAAACCATATGATGTCGTTTTCAGGGAAGATCTTGCATATTTCAGCAAGAGTGCTAAACCACATACAGTACTGCATGTACTCAAGGTCCAGCTGCTGAACTGGCCTGCCTGCAGTCCAGACCTCACCAGTTTAAAACAGTTATTGCATCAGAACATTAAAAAAAAATCCAGCAAATAAGACCCAGGACTGTTGGACAGCCATTATTTTTAATGTAAACACTTTTCTATGATATGGATGTATAAGATCTGCAAACCATTGCATTTTGGTTTTTGTTCACATTAAACACAAAGACTTATTGAAAACTTACTTTTTTTTTTTAACAAATACAACGTGGTTGCAGATTTTAAAGCTTGATATTTTGTTTCTGATCCAGCCCGAAGCCAGAATGAATCAATTTAATTGACGAAGGACTTGCACCGTTCTTTTATATAACGGAGTAAATTAGGTCAAACCATAACGTTATTTCTGCACTGGCCAGCATTTTGTGAATAAACCTGCCCCTTCAAAATATCCTCTCACTTCTTATTTATCTCAGAACGATTATTCACGTGCACGGTTGGACATTTACATTTGAATTAAACGTGTTGTGACGTTTGTTTCCTGAATGAAGCAGGTGCCGCCTCATCCCAGAGAAACTAAAGCAAACTGCTGTTAGGTTTGCAAGCTGTGATTCTTTCAGGAAGAAGCTCTTGTTGTCTGGAAACAGACGGTTCCCGTTTGCTGACTGGGGAAATGTTTGCATGTCCTCCAGGAACAGCACTGCTGCTACAGAGGCCACATTTATTTGCCTTGCAAAATGCACTCTGCTATCCTCTACAATACATACTGTATGTTTCTAAGTTGATTAACGAACAGATATTTTACACAACTGCGATGATGAGTTCATTTACAGAGCAGGAAGACGTCTCATATTAAAATGATCCATTTTAAGGGAAAAACCTGTTGTTTCCAAATTTCATGGCGTCAACAAATCCCAAAAAAGTTGGGACAAGTCCATTTTTACCACTGTGTGGCATTCCCCCTTCTTCTTACAACACTCAACAGACGTCTGCGGACAGAGGAGACCAGTTTCTCAAGTTTAGAAATAGGAATGATCTCCCATTCATGTCTATTACAGGCCTCTAACTGTTCAATCGTCTTGGGCCTTCTTTGTCGCACCTTCCTCTTTATGATGCACCAAATGTTCTCTATAGGTGAAAGATCTGGACTGCAGACTGGCCATTTCAGTACCCGGATCCTTCTCCTACGTAGCCATGATGTTGTGATTGCTGCAGAATGTGGTCTGGCATTATCGTGTTGAAAAATGCAGGGTCTTCCCTGAAAGAGATGACGTCTAGATGGGAGCATATGTTGTTCTAGAACCTGAACATAGTTCTCTGCATTAATGGTGCCTTTCCAGACATGCAAGCTGCCCATGCCACAAGCGCTCATGCAACCCCATACCATCAGTGATGCAGGCTTCTGAACAGAGTGTTGATAACAACTTGGGCTATCCTTATCCTCTCTGGTCCGGATGACATGGCGTCCCAGTGTTCCATAAAGAACTTCAAATCGTGACCCATCTGACCACTGAACAATCTTCCATTTTGCCACACTCCATTTTAAATGACCCCTGGCCCAGTGCAAACGTCTGAGCTTGTGGAGCTTGCTTAGAAATGGCTTCCTCTTTGCAATGTAGAGTTTCAGCTGGCAACGGCGGATGGCACGGTGGATTGTGTTCACTGACAATGCTTTCTGGAAGTATTCCTGAGCCCATTCTGTTATTTCATTGATAGTGGCATTCCTGTTTGAGATGCAGTGACGTTTAAGGGCCCGGAGATCACGAGCATCCAGTAGAGTTTTACGGCCTTGACCCTTATGCACAGTGATTGTTCCAGATTCTCTGAATCTTTTGATGATGTTATGCACGGTTGATGATGATAACTTAAAAGTCTTTGCTATTTTACGCTGGGTAACACCATTCTGGTATTGCTGCACTATCTTCTGCGCAACAATGGTGGAATTGGTGATCCTCTTACCATCTTGGCTTCTGAGAGACACTGACACTCTGAGAAGCTCTTTTTTTACCCAATCATGTTGTCAATTGACCTAATTAGTGTTAATTGGTCTTCCAGCTGTTCGTTATATGCACAATTTCCTTTTTCCAGCCCCTTATTGCTACTTGTCCCAACTTTTTTGGGATTTGTTGACACTGTGAAATTTTGAATCAACAACATCAACATTTCCTTTAAAATGTTACATCTACTCAGATTAAACTTTTGATCTGTCATCTATGTTATATTACAAATAAAATATTGACATTTGCCATCTCCACATCATTGCATTCAGTTTTTATTCAATTTGTTTAGTGTCCCAACTTTTTTGGAATCCGGTTTGTATATATATAGATATAGATATATATAGATATGTTCAGTGCCCTGAGATGATTCTGTTGTGACTTGGCACTATATAAATAAACTGAATTTAATTGATTTTACTCATCTTGGTCTTTAAGTTTCAGAGCTGTTTATTTTTGTGCTAGGCAGGCAATGAAATGACCTCACTTACCTGTTCTTTTCCAGCTCGTTGTGTGCCGACCTGTTGAAATGAGAACTAGGTCAACAAAATTTGAGCTAATAATGCTTTTGTTATAAATGAAAACACAGACATATGATGTGAATTTGATCAAAGGTCTCCTGAATCTTTTCCAGGTTTAGGCTCATTACATTACGCTTACCGGTTGTGAATATTGTCCAGTTTTTTGTTCTTGAATTTACGCTGTTTCTGCTGAAGTGCAATCTGCGATGCAGGGTATGTGGAAGCGTAACCGTGCTCGTATTCTGCTCACGAAACAAACAAACAAATTTATTAAATTTACAATAAATGTATCACAAGCCTTACGAATGCTGGAAAATGTGCTGCGTTGTGAATGACTCTCAGCTACTACCATGCTAAATTTTAGCACAAAATTGACTGACAAGTTGCTGTTTTTGTGTTTTCTAATGCTTTTAGGCTGAGACGGCCATATCCATGTTGACGTTTTTTAAAAGTTAATCAGTTGTAGATGTACATCAAATGATTACTTTCTGGGAGCTTTGTTAAAATCGCTCTAATGGTTCATAAGATATTCTGCTAACAGACACATAAAGATGACTCTGTACATTTAAAAGCAAAATTTTAAACAAAGATATTGAGCAATCTGTTAGCGCTCTGAATATATATTGGGGATCTGTTTAAGCAACTACTATAGGAATATTTATGTCCATTTATGTAAAATCTATTGTGTTATAGCTATTTTTGTGTTTTAAGGTCAATGGTTATGGCAACCATCTTGAATTGGGACGACTCTAAAATCTAATCAGTTGTAGATGTTCATCCAATGATCGCTTTCTAAAAGTTTAATTAAAATGTGTCCGGTAGTTCATGAGATTTTTTGCTAACAGACAAATGGGCCTTTTTCATTTTTATGCAACAGTTATTCAAACTACTTCTCAACAAATGCATAAAGCCTATATAAAAAACAAAAATATTTAATAAATTAAAGCTCATTTGTCTGCGAATTTTCGCAAATTCTTCTCGTTAAACAATGACCTCATTGCTTCTACATAAAGCCTACAATTCCCATGAATCATTTCTCTCAGTAACACGCGACGTCACACGTACGCCTCACTCTGATTGGTTCTTTACATTGACCCACGCGCTGGGAACCCGTTTCCTGACCAATGAGAGCTCTACAATTTGTTCCATGTGGAAGCCATGTGAACAACACATACAAGGAAGCTGCGGTGGCCCGAGAACACAGCGGCAGGACTAAAAATAGGACATTTTTTAAGGAAAATTAAATCCGAATCGAGCTCTGTTGTGCGCGAGAAGGACCGTAAACGCGACATTTCTCAGAGGACGTGACATTTGAACGGAAAACACAGAGATTCGCTCGGATATAAACTGAAATTAAAGGTTAAGACTAGACATGGGCGACACTTAAACATCATACATTCACGTTTAAAATGCGCAAATCTGTTCTAGAAGCACGGAAACTATCGAGACGTGGTGCACCACGCGCATTTCAACTCTGCAACGGATAGCTCAGGGTACTGTTGCAGCAAAATCAGCCTCCGTCGAGCCACTTGTTCAGTAATTTTCCAAACTGGACGCATTTCTCAGCTTTTGTTCAAATCCAGACAAGAGTCATTGCGGTAGTTCGAGCACATCGGCGCCAGCAGGTACCTTACATCTGTCCACTGCGCGTCTTTTGTCGCCTCTATTGTTGTCTGCTCGGCGCATTATAACCCCCCCTCACCCCCCGGTGTGTTTTTACTTACTCCCGCTGCTCCGCTCAACCTTTTCAATGTAGCTGGCAGCGTCCAGCAGCACCTGCACGTTCCTCATGAAAGTGCCGATTCGGTCCATTGCGGAACATTTGGAGTAGAAAACGTCGCGGAAAGAAGAAGAGTCGGACATCTCGCCGAAACCCTGCTGCTGGTCCTCCTTGGACGCGTCAGACTCCGACAGGAGCTCCTCGGGTTTCAGCTCGCTGTGCTGTCGCGTGTACTTCACCATTATTATTATTATTATTATTAGCAATATAATTCTTTTGAAACTTATGGCTTTCAGAGCTGGAATTGCTCCTCTTGTCCTGTGTGTGCACTGGGCGGATGACTGAAATGAACTGGGCTGGATGGAATTGCAGTCCTTAGCCACTTGCCCTACTTGGTGGATAATCCCTCCCACTAACGCATGCACATTGCATTCATTGTCAACTGCTCCATAATAAATCCTCATTAACAAAACAGCAGGAGGAGTACACATGTAAAAAAAAAAAAAAAGTCTGGTGACATTCTGAAATACTGGCTGCTCCAGTTTGTCATAAACTCACTTTATTGTGTGAACGCTGAGTCAGCCTTCTCTGTATATGACCCTGTTTCTCTTTATTGGTGTTCTCTGTTATAGTTTAATTGACTCTTTCCCAAACTACTAATGTGTACCATTCCATCCATGTCTAAATATATATCAAATGGTCAGCCCAATTAGAAATTGAGCTGTGACATGTATTTTGTAACCTTTACATTTTTCAAAATATTTCAAGTCAAGTTTATTGTCATTCGCATCACATGTGGTACATGAGGTGGAACGAAATTATGTACAGGTCCCACTTGCACCCAACAATAGTAAAAATATAAAACGTCAACGGTATATAAAGATCTAAGATATATGTTGAACGAACACCAAACGGTACGCTAAAAGATCTAAGATATACGCTAAACACTAATAATGTAAGACAATATGGCATAACATTTACCATTATTATATTTAATAATATTTACTGTTTACTTAAAACAGTTATACCAAAATTGATTAAAATCTCTTTGAATCCCCCCCCCCCCCCCCCATTTTTTTTTTAAATGTACTTCCAGCACACTATTTTTTGTCTCATGCTACTTTTAGCTACCATTCGGCTACTTTTAGCTAACCTTTTGGTGCTTCTAGGTTTAACCAATATTTTGTTACTTTTGGTTTGCCTTTTGCGTTTTTTCTCATGTATTATTTTTGTTTTTATGTATTATTTTTCTACTTTTAGGGCTACAATGCAGATTTCTTGCTACTTTAACATTCAGGTAGTTTTGCTACTTTTACCTTAGTTCGCCTTTAGCTACTTTTAGCTTGCATTCTGCTGCTTTTAGCTAGTATTTTGGTGCTTCTAGGTTTCACCTAACATTTTGTTACTTTTGGTTTGCCTTTAGCTTTTTTTCTCATGTAGTATTTTTGTTTTTTACGTAGTAGTTTTCTACTTTTAAGTCTACAATGTATATATTTTTTTGCTACTTTAAACAAACAAACAAATTTATTAAATTTACAATAAATGTATCACAAGCCTTACGAATGCTGGAAAATGTGCTGCGTTGTGAATGACTCTCAGCTACTACCATGCTAAATTGACTGACAAGTTGCTGTTTTTGTGTTTTCTAATGCTTTTAGGCTGAGACGGCCATATCCATGTTGACGTTTTTTAAAAGTTAATCAGTTGTAGGTGTACATCAGGTAGAGTTTTGCTACTTTTAGCTAGCATTCTGCTGCTTTTAGATAATCTTTTGGTTCTACTTGGTTTAACCTAACATTTTGTTACTTTAAGCTTTCTTTTTGCTTTTATTTTCATGTAGTCTTATTGAATTTTTGATTTGTACTTAGTATTTTATACTTTGAGCCCTACAATACATCATTTTTGCTATAACTTTCAGGTAGAGTGTTGCTACGTTTAACTTGTAGTTACCCTTCAGCTATTTTTAGCTAGCATTTTGCTACTTCAGCTAGCATTCTGCTAATTTTATCTAGTGGTGCTACTAACCTTTTGTTGCTTTTGTCTAGCTTTTTGTTACTTCTAGCTTTAGGTAGTCATTGGTATTTTTAGTTATGAGCTAGCATTTTGCACTTTTTAGCATTTAGCTAGTGTTCTTTTTTAAGCTTTAATGACTCATTTCAGATTTTTCAGCTAAGTCTTTCAGTAATCAACGTTCACAGACACATTTAAAGATCATAAAATGTATCTTGTTTGATTTGATCTAAACTGTATGTGATAAATCCTCGTCCATTCGTGCTTGTAACAAGCAGCGTGTGGTGGCAGACAGTATCAGACCCAATCAACAGTTCAACCTGGATATCAGCTGGCCTTTGTGATAAATATATAATCAGCCGAGGCCTTTGTGTTGCAGAAGGGCTCTACATAAAAATTCTCCAACAATAAAGGCAGCACACGCACATCTGATGTGGTAATCCAAGACATGCTAACTCCTCGTCGTCAACTGTCTATCTGTTAGCAAAATATCTCATAAACCACTGGATATATTCTAAATAAACTTTCAGAACATAATCATTGGATTTACATCAACTGATTAACTTTTGGAGTCAACTTAAGATGGAGCTCGCACTGACAAGGAAACACAAATGGCTTAGTCAATTCTGAGCTAAATTAAACACGGTAGTAGCTGATAATCATCCTCAAAACATCATTTTATTTCTAATACATCTGAGATCTCATTGTGCTGAGATTATTCATGACATCATTTACCTTATCAGTTTATGATCTTAGTTTTAAAGTCTGACATAAAAGACGGCGGGCGATAAGTATTCCTTTAAGGAAGGTTCGACCTATTATAAGGTTAAAAATATAAGGTTACCTTATATTTAAAAAAAAAGAAAGGAAAACTATACCAAAATTGATTAAAATCTCTTCAAATCCTCCAAAACATTGTTTTTTCAAAGTGCTTCCAGCATACTTATTTTTTGTCTCGTGCTACTTTCAGCTAGCATTCTGCTACTTTCAGCTAGCATTCTGCTACTTTTAGCTAGCATTCTGCTACTTTCAGCTATCATTCTGCTACTTTCAGCTAGCATTCTGCTACTTTTAGCTAGCATTCTGCTACTTTCAGCTATCATTCTGCTACTTTCAGCTAGCATTCTGCTACTTTTAGCTAGCATTCTGCTACTTTCAGCTAGCATTCTGCTACTTTCAGCTAGCATTCTGCTACTTCTAGGTTCAGCCTAGCATTTTGTTACTTTTGGCTTGCTTTTTGCTTTTATTCTTATGTAGTATTTCAGTATTTTTAGTTGTTACTCAGTGCTTGCTTCATGATAAACTGCAGAAGTTGTATGTTATAGCTCCATCCCATATATTTATGCTAAACTGACAACAAAACGTCCATGATAGTGATAATGACCTCACTAGCATTTCAATTTATCATTGTATTTTGGATCAACTAACCTTGCAGTTAAGTCTTCTTGTTTGATTGTCGAACAATGCTTTTTTTTCTATCTCTTGAGAGATTAAGAAGTCATTTTCAGTCAGACTGAGAGAAATGGAAGAGAACAGAGGGGAAAGGGACGGCCTTTGCAAGGCCAGCCATGCGTGCAGCCAGGGCCGTGCTGCAGCTCCTAGACAATAGGTGCAGATGGCTCTGCCTGCTGCAGATGTGGCCAGACCTGTAATGGACGCCTGCGAGGAAGAACACCCACCCATGGTGCTTTTACCAGACGCTGATCTTTTATTCGGACACCAAGTTCTAAATGCACTTAGGCATCATGCCTGCCATGTACAAACATGTCGCTTTAATCCTTCTTTTAAACATCATCCTGTAGGCCTGCTACCAAGAAAAGGGCAGCTCGTGTGAGACATGGACAGTGAAATCGGTGGGGGGAGGGAAACTGACAGCATTTCTCCAGGAAAAGTCTCATATGAGTGTGCGTGTGTCACACACTGATAGCCACGGAGTGGAAAGCTGACCCGCTGTAGGATGGTGTAGAATGTGACCCCAACTGGAGTAATCTGAAAAGCCTGAGGATTACACCAGCAGCTCGGCTGTCACAGAGGAGGCAAAGTCACACGGAGCTGCAGCAGTTTCAGTCCAAACATCATATCTATCCATGACACAGTACGGTGTGAGGGGTTTCAACCACACCTTGATTTTGCTGCGTGTGTGTGGTTGCACATGGGTCAGAGTGATTGTCTGTCAAAATATCTCCTGAAACACCTGATTTTAATGAAACTTTCTAAATGTAATCATTAGATGCACAGCTACAACTGATTGGTTTTTAAAGTCAACTTGACATAAGATGGCCGTCACATTCAAGCGACCTTAAAAACACACATATAGCTTTAACTCTATATTTTACAGCAGTTGACCCAAAAGTTGGTGTAGTACAGTGGTTCTTAAACTTTTTGGGTTCAGGGACCCGTTACATGGGAGAAAAAGATTCAGGGACCCCAATATTTGTCTTCAATTTATCTCTTTAATGCAATGGAAATATGTGTGTAACATAAATACTTAAGACCTGTTCTTTAATAGTGTTAATACACCACTTTTAAAAATGGGGCTTTTTTTTTTATTCAAGACACAATTAACATTTTTAATTTCAACTTCCAAAAATTACAGTTTTGAGAAAATTAACAGCATCAAAAAACACTTTTAAACTTTACTTACTGGTATTCATATAATGAACATAAGAAATGTGTTGCCACTTCTTCAAATTATTACAGAAAACTCTTTAGATAAAACTGAACAGAATCATAACAGCAGTAGTCAGACCAAGTAACAGGACTTCATTTGTAAACCGATCAATGCCAGGGGTGGTGTGGGGGTGTCTGGTGGTCCTCCCCCCAAAAATATGAATAAAGTAGATGTAATTTCTTGCATTTTGGTGTATTTTAACGGGTTGTTAAACATCTACCTGCTTGTAATATATATATATATATATATATATATATATATATATATATATATAATTTATTTATTTTTTTTACGCATCCCCAAGCACTGTCTCGCAGACCCCCTAGTTTGAGAACCACTGTGATAGATGCAGAGACTGATCCACAACATTTAATCTGTGCGTTAACAAATAGTGCAAGATTTTGGTTTAAAATGTTGCTGTTAACTATTTGGAGTCAACTTTGTCTGCCTGTTAGCAAAATATTCCCTGAACGAGTGGAAGTGTTTCAATCAAACTTTCAGAAAATAATCACAGGATGTATCCTTAGATAAAATTCAATACAATTCAAGATGGACGCTACA